AACCAGGCCCGAGTCTGGATGTCATCTGACGAGATCAGGCACTTTCAGACTGGTATGGCCGTTGGCAAAATTAAGCGAATGCGATTTTTGCATTGCAAAGCTCAAATTTGAAGTGCAATTTCTAAACTGCGACTGTGCCTTCAATTTTAATACTTCAGAGACATACTATGCATCAAAATTTAGGTCTGGATCTTGTGATTCTCACAATATAAAGCTCTTCGCTGTAGGATTTATAGTTTTTAAAATATGACCGTTTGAAGATGGCAACCACCAAAATACTCTGACCTGTCAAGGCTGCAGCAGCAAGTGATGTGATAGACAGGGCCTTTTGAACACCTGCTAATGTTTTATAAATGTATGGTTTAATGTAACTGTGCAACAACGTTGCAATTGAATGTGCTATATAAATGATAACAGTTACTCCGCCCACTCCAGTTGTAGACTCCTGGTGGAGGCAAGAACACTTCACACAATTTCCCGAGAAATTGTAGTTTTTCTAGTTCTTATTAAGTGTTCTTGCATAGCAAGACCACTTAATGTTATCTCACATATATATTATTAAGTGTTCTTGCATAGCAAGACCACTTAATGTTATCTCACATATATATTATTATTATTAAGTGTTCTTGCATAGCAAGACTACTTAATGTTATCTCACATATATATTATTATTATTAATGTTCTTGCATAGCAAGACCACTTAATGTTATCTCACATATATATTATTATTATTATTATTATTATTAAGTGTTCTTGCATAGCAAGACCACTTAATGTTATCTCACATATATATTATTATTATTATTATTATAGCAAAATTTGCCACCCTAACTCCTCCCACAGTTTTTACACTACATAGACAAAAATTTACCAAAACGTGCAGATTGTTCCCGATCGGATTGCTATTACTTTGTGGAACGTTTCGCCGAATGGTTCACGGAATATCGTCGTTCTTGTGGCGAAATTTGTCCCATAGGAATTAATGGCAAAGCTAGAGTGGGAGCTGGCAAAAGCTGAAAAATCAGGACATGATTTCTAAACTGCCACCACTCCCTCATTTTCAGTCCCACCTACACAAATCTTATATCAAAACGTTCAGCTATCCCTGCTGCCACTAAACATGTCAACGGCTAAGCCATAGTCCTGATAGTTTTCACAATATAATCATTTGTTTGCAACTAATGCCGTCCATTGACTTTCATTGAAACTTCACTCTGCAAAGCTCAAATTTGAAGTGCAATTTCTAAACTGCGATTGTGCCTTCAATTTTAATACTTCAGAGACATACCATGCATCAAAATGTAGGTCTGGGTCTTGTGATTCTCACAATATAAAGCTCTTCACTGTAGGAGTTATAGTTTTTAAAATACGACCGTTTGAAGAGGGCAACCGCCAAAATACTCTGACCTGTGTCAGGCTGCAGCAGCAAGTGATGTCATAGACAGGGCCTTTTGAACACCTGCTAATGTTTTTATAAATGTATGGTTTAATGTAACTGTGCAACAACGTTGCAATTGAATGTGCTAGACTACTGGTGGAGGCAAGAACACTTCACACAATTTCCCCAGAAATTGTAACTTTTCTAGTTATTCTTCTTCTTATTATAGCAAAATTTGCCACCCTAACTCCTCCCACAGTTTTTACACTACATAGACAAAAATGTACCAAAACGTGCAGATTGTTCCCGATCGGATTGCTATTACTTTGTGGAACGTTTCGCCGAATGGTTCACGGAATATCGTCGTTCTTGTGGCGAAATTTGTCCCATAGGAATGAATGGCAAAGCTAGAGTGGGAGCTGGCAAAAGCTGAAAAATCAGGACATGATTTCTAAACTGCCACCACTCCCTTATTTTCAGGCCCACCTACACAAATCTTATATCAAAATGTTCAGCTATCCCTGCTGCCACTAAACATGTCAACGGCTAAGCTGTAGTCCTGATAGTTTTCACAATATAATCATTTGTTTGCAACTAACGCCGTCCATTGACATTCATTGAAACTTCACTCTGCAAAGCTCAAATTTGAAGTGCAATTTCTAAACTGCGACTGTGCCTTCTACTTCAGAGACATACTATGCATCAAAATGTAGGTCTGGGTCTTGTGATTCTCACAATATAAAGCTCTTCACTGTAGGAGGTATAGTTTTTAAGATACGACCGTTTGAAGATGGCAACCACCAAAATACTCTGACCTGTCAAGGCTGCAGCAGCAAGTGATGTGATAGACAGGGCCTTTTGAACACCTGCTAATGTTTTTATAAATGTATGGTTTAAAGGACCACTATAGTGCCAGGAAAACATACTCGTTTTCCTGGCACTATAGTGCCCTGAGGGTGCCCCCACCCTCAGGGACCCCCTCCCGCCCGGCTCTGGGGAGAGGAAAGGGTTAAAAAGGGGTTAAAACTTACCTTTTTCCAGCGCTGGGCGGGGAGCTCTCCTCCTCCGATCCGCCCCGTCGGCTGAATGTGCACGCGCGGCAAGAGCTGCGTGTGCATTCAGCCGGTCACATAGGAAAGCATTCATAATGCTTTCCTATGGACGCTTGCGTGCTCTCACTGTGAAAATCACCATGAGAAGCACGCAAGCGCCTCTAGTGGCTGTCAATAAGACAGCCACTAGAGGAAATAGGGGAAGGCTTAACCCATTGATAAACATAGCAGTTTCTCTGAAACTGCTATATTTATGAAAAAATGGGTTAACCCTAGAAGGACCTGGCACTCAGACCACTTCTTTAAGCTGAAGTGGTCTGGGTGCCTAGAGTGGTCCTTTAATGTAACTGTGCAACAACGTTGCAATTGAATGTGCTATATAAATGATAACAGTTACTCCGCCCACTCCAGTTGTAGACTCCTGGTGGAGGCAAGAACACTTCACACAATTTCCCCAGAAATTGTAGCTTTTCTAGTTATTAAGTGTTCTTGCAAGAACACTTATTGTTATCTCACATATATATTATTCTTATTATAGCCAAATTTGCCACCCTAACTCCTCCCACAGTTCTAACACTACATAGACAAAAATTTACCAAAACGTGCAGATTGTTCCCGATCGGATTATTACTTTGTGGAACGTTTCGCCGAATGGTTCACGGAATATCGTCGTTCTTGTGGCGCAATTTGTCCGATAGGAATGAATGGCAAAGCTAGAGTGGGAGCTGGCAAAAGCTGAAAAATCAGGACATGATTTCTAAACTGCCACCACTCCCTTATTTTCAGGCCCACCTACACAAATCTTATATCATAACGTTCAGCTATCCCTGCTGCCACTAAACATGTCAACGGCTAAGCCATAGTCCTGATAGTTTTCACAATATAATCATTTGTTTGCAACTAACGCCGTCCATTGACTTTCATTGAAACTTCACTCTGCAAAGCTCAAATTTGAAGTGCAATTTCTAAATTGCGACTGTGCCTTCAATTTTAATACTTCAGAGACATACTATGCATCAAAATGTAGGTCTGGGTCTTGTGATTCTCACAATATAAAGCTCTTCACTGTAGGAGTTATAGTTTTTAAGATACGACTGTTTGAAGATGGCAACCACCAAAATACTCTGACCTGTGTCAAGCTGCAGCAGCAAGTGATTTCATAGACAGGGCCTTTTGAACACCTGCTAATGTTTTTATAAATGTATGGTTTAACCCATTAAGGACGGAGCAAAATGTACACGTTGTGAACAAAACAAAATGTAAACAAAACCTGGCATTTGCGCTAGATGTCTGTCCAACCGTAATACACCTCTTTCATAGTAAATGCACCCACCCTTATTATATATCATTTTATTCAGGGGAAACAGGGCTTTCATTTAATATCAAATATTTAGCTATGAAACATAATTTAATATGAAAAAAATGGGAGAAAATGCGATTTTATTGGATTTTTTTAGTTCTACATGACAATTAAACGGTCAGTGTCATAATACTGTTTGCTTTTACTGCAATAAAATACACATATTTGTATTCAGCAAAGTCTCACGTGTAAAACAGTACCCCCTATGTACAGGTTTTATGGCGTTTGGGGAAGTTACAGGGTCAAATATAGCACGTTACATTTGAAATTGAAATTCGCCAGATTGGTTACGTTGCCTTTGGGACTGTATAGTAGCCCAGGAATAAAATTTACACCTATAATGGCATACCATTTGCAATAGTAGACAACCCAAGGTATTGCAAATGGGGTATGTCCAGTCTTTTAGTAGCCATTTGGTCACAAACACTGGCCAAAGTTAAGCGTTAGTATTTGTTTGTGTGTGAAAAATGCAAAAAGCGCCAATTTTGGCCAGTGTTTTGTGACTAAGTGGCTACTAAAAAGACTGGACTTCTATTTACCTTCGCCCAGGTTATTCTACCTGTTGCAAGTAATTTATGCCATCTTCGAGGAAACAATTTTCGTCTTGGCGGGCTTCATAAGTCTCAAAGGCAACCTAACCAATCTGGCGAATTTTTATGTGAAAAAATGAAACACAAGCCTTATATTTGACGCTGTAACTTTTGAAAACACCATAAAACCTGTACATGAGGGGTACTGTTGTACTCGGGAGACTTCACTGAACACAAATATTTGTGTTTCAAAACAGTAAAAGTATCATAGCAATAATATTGTCCGTTTAATGCTGTTTGTGCGTGAAAAATGCAAAAAACGTCACTTTTACTGGCGATATCATCGTTGTAATACATTTTACATCCCGTTACATCCCGAGTAGAACAGTACCCCCCATGTACAGGTTTTATGGTGTCTCGGAAAGTTAAGGGGTTAAATATAGTGCTAGCAAATTAAATTCCCTTTACTTTCGGCATGGGTTGTCATGCAGGTCCTGCTAATTGTAATTAATTAAGATACCTAATTATGTAAAAATATTACATAAATATATATGTAGAATCAATATATGTATATATA